CATCCTCATAGTCCCCTACCTCTGCAAAGAAGAGAAGTAGTCTTAAGTCCTTATCTTTTCTCCAGGGTCAAGTTATTATAATATTATATTATAATTGCATAATGCATTATAATTATGCAAATTCGGTATCTAGCTTTTTCTTTTTATTTATATTGCTGTAATCATTGTATATATTGTTTTCCAGGTTCTGCATAATTCACTCTACACTGGATCATATTTTTTCCCATGTTCCTCTGAGTTGTTCATAGTCATCATTTCTTATGACATAGTAATATTCTGTTAATTCTCATATCAGAATTTGTTTAAACATTCCTCAAACGATAGACATGTACTTTGATTCCAGTTCTTTGCTAGCACAAAAAGTGCTGCTATGAATATTTGGGTGTATATGAGAGCTTTCTTTTAGGCTGTCCTGGGACCTCTTCTCTTCCCCCTCTATATTATTTCACTTGGTGATCTCATCAGCTCCCATGGATTCAGCGATCATCTCTGTGCTGATGATTCTCAGATTTACTTATCTAGCCCTAACCTTTCTCCTGATCTCCAGTCACATATCCCCTCTTGGACATCTCCAAATGGATGTCCCCATGTACACCTCAATTTGGAGCCCAAATAATCACCCTGTTTGGGCCCTGAGAATACCTCACCACCCATAGAGGAGCCCTCCACCCCACTGTATGTATCATTGTATCCATCCATCCATCCGACCTCAAATGCAACAAGTGCCAAACAGGACTCATTTCCTCCCCTCCTCCCTCCACTTATAGTATTCCTATATCTTGGGACTTCTCTATTATAGTGGAAGGCACCACCATCTTCCACTCTCCCAGGCTCCCAACCTCAGAGTTGTGACCAATTTATTGCCAAGTCCCGTCATTTCCACCTTTGGAATGTTTTTCGTATACATCCCCTTTTTTCCACTCACATAGTCACTACCCTGGTGCAGGCCCTTATCACCTCACATCTGGGCGATTGCCATAGCCTGCTGGTTGGTCTCTACCTCAAGTCTCTCCCCGCTCCAGTCCATCCTCTACTCAGTTGCCAAAGTCACCTTCCTTTGTTTAGGTATGACCATCTTATATACACCTACGTGACCAGCTCCAGTGACTCCCTATTACCTCCAGGATCAACTATAAAATTCTCTGTTTGCCCTTTAAAGCCCTTTACAACCTGGCCTCTATGTTGTTCCTCATACAAGACTCTCCATCTCTAGACCCTGTGCCTTTTCTCTGGATGGCTCCCAGGCTTGGAATTCTCTCCTACCTTATTTCTGCCTCCTGGCTTTCCTGGCTTAGTTAAAATCCTACATTCTATTGCTTTTTAACTTATGTATGTATTTATTTATTGTGGGGAGGCAGTTAGGGTTAAGTGACTTGCCCAGGGTCACACAGCTAGTAAGTTGCTGAGGCCAGATTTCAACTCAGGTCCTCCTGACTCCAGGGCCAGTGCTACGCCTGCTAGCTGCTGCAAAATTCCACCTTCTACAAGAGACCTTTTGCAGCTCCCCTTAATTCTAGAGACTTTCCTCTGAGATTACCTCCAATTTACCTTGTATCTATCTTGTTTGAGCATAGATGTTTGCATGTGAGATTGTGAATTCCTCAAAAGCAAGGTCTGCTTTTGCCTGTCTTTGTGCTCTTGGTAATTAGCACAGTACCTGGCACATAGTAGGCACTTTGAAAATGCTTGATTGATTGACTGTACTTGGCCACATTGAGGTCCATGCCTAGGAGCTTTCAGTAAATACCTTTTAACAAGAGGAGTTGAAATGAAAGGATTTGGGGGCTAACCCACAAGCAAATTCAGTGAGCCAACTCAGCCCTTTCCTCTTCCCCTTAAGCATCTTGGTAAACCAAGGATTGGCCACACGTAAATTCAAAGGATGGAGAATAGGGTGGGACTAACAAGGAAAGGGGGTGGGGCTAACAAGGAAAGGCTTCTTAGAGGAAATGACTCAACCTTGCATGTCCAAGAGTCTGGAGAGCCAAGGGTGTGCCCCTTACCATCCCAGGAAAATCCTAGTAGGGTTGGTGACATTCAAAGGACCGCAGTAGAGGTTCCTACACCCTTTTCTTAATTGAACAAGGAGCCCAAGGTCTACCTCTGATTTTTCTGTGTGACCTTGGACATCTCCAAATAGATGTCCCCATATACACCTCGAATGCAACAAGTGCCAAGCAGGACTCATGATCTCCTCCCCTCCTCCCTCCACTTATAGTATTCCTGTATTATAGGACTTCCCTATTAGAGTGGAGGACAGCACCATCTTCCTACTCTCCCAGGTGTTCCATCCACTCTGGGCTTTCCTCCTCTTTAAAATGAGGGTGTTGAACTAGATAACATCTAAGGTCTCTTCTAGCTCTCAGAGTTGATTCCTCTGGATGGGGAGCAATGATGACCAGAGGGAGGGAGCTGTGGGATGGTAGGATTTTCTCTCTAGAAGCTATTTGGCCAGAGGTTGGGAAAACAACCACTGCTTGGAGGCAGAGGGATGGACTGACGTCTTAAAGCTCCTTCTATCACTCAGCTTCCAAGTAAAGGCTGAACAGTTTCAGTTAGTGGAACTAATTCGCTTGGGCTTATTCTTCCAGCTCATTACATAAGTTAAAGATTTTCAGGACTTTTCTTCTTTTGGGGAATGGATGGGGGGCTACGGTGAAGCTGTGTAATGGGGGCCTGGCTTGTGTAGGGACTGATAAGAGCATGTTTATATTCTGCTATATAACTTTATTTATTTTTTTGGCTAGGCAATGGGGCTAAGTGACTTGCCCAAGGTCACACAGATAGCAAGTGTCAAGTGTCTGAGGCTGGCTTTGAACTCCTTCTGACTCCAGGGTCAGTGCTCTATCCATGGCACCAACTAGCTGTACCAAAACAGAAGTATTTTTTTTTTTGAGACAATGAGAATTAAGTGACTTGCCCAGGGTCACACAGCTAATAAGTGTCTGAGGTTAGATTTGAACTTGGATCCTTCTGACTCCAGGGCCAGTGCTCTATCCACCACCCAACTGCTCCTTGCTATAGAATTTAAAGAATCTCTCTTGTGGGGAAGGAGATCCTTACCTCTGATTTCATTAATGTAGGTAACCGTTGGTGAGGAAAATTTTTCTACCAATGTAGATTTGTCAGTCATAATAGCATAACAGCAATAAAAACATATTAAATGTGTGTTTGCTGTGTGTCAGGCAACGTAAGCACCGGGAGTACAAAGAAAGGCAAAAGACAGTACCTGCTCTCAAGGAATTCACAGTCTAATGGGAGAGGCAACATGCAAGAACTATTTACAAACAAGCTATATACAGGATAAATTGGAAATAATTGGAAGGCACTAGAATTAGGAGAGGTCAGGAAAAGCTTTCCAGAAAAGGTAGGATTTTAGCTGAGACTTTAAGAAAGCCAGGGAGGCTAGGAAGGAGAGATGAGGAAGGAGAGCATTTCAGCACTGGTTTGAAGAGTACTAGTGTGTGTGTGCATGCAAGACATGAGAAAACTGCAAAGATGATGGGGGGAGAGGTTATGAAGAGCTTTAAAAGTCAAACACAAGATTTTGTAAGTGATCCTAGAAGTGATAGGGAGCCCCTGGAGTCTTTCAATAACTTGTATTTTTAGAGAGCTGCCTAGTCTAGCCTAACTTTTGGACTAGTGCTCATTCTATGTATGTTTGTATGTATGTACCTATCTATCTATCTGTCTATGTATCTATCCATCCATCCATCCATCTATCTATCACTATACCATCTAACAGCCAAGTAGTAAATGGAGACTCAGGATTTGAACCTAGGTCCTCAAACACCAAATCCCAAGACTTAACTTTTTTTTGTTACTGTACCACAGTATCATTTAACCTTTCTGAGACTCAGTTTTCTGATTTGCGACTTGGGGATGGTAAAAACACCTACCTCAGAGGCTTGTGAAGCTCAAATGAGATAATATATGTAAAGCGACTTGCAAACCTTAAAGTGCTATATAAATGTTAGCTATTTTATCATTGTTATTCGTATTGGGTGCCAAGAGGACTGGTATGAATAGAATATGTGTACCTGTGTGTATATGTGTATAACAGACATGGCCAGAGCAACAGGAAGCAGATGGGGCTTGTCTGAGAAGTCTTGGTGGAGTTGGACATTCAAGTTCAGCTGTCTTTCGTAATCTCCTGTTACCCTGAGTATCGTGTTAACCTGACTTGTATTCCTTGTGGGGATCCTGAAATTTAGGAGTACAGCGGAGGTGGGAGAACTTTTCCTGATCTTTCTAGTGGGTGATACTCTCTCTCTTTCTCTCCTAAGATGATCTTGTTTGTATTATTTGATTGTTTCTATAGAAATGTTTTATTCCCCTCCCACTAGAATGTAAGATCTCTGAGGGCAGGGACCTTTTCCAGGTCTGTTTTTGCACTAGACTTACTGCTCATTACCTTGTCCATGCACATCTCGGCCAAACTGCCCTGCTTGTTCCCTGTGCTCAGTCTTCCATCTCCCATCTCCTTTTGCACAGCCTGTTTCCCATGCTTAAAATGCTCACCATCTCTTAGAATCTTAAACTTCCTTCAGGGCTCAATTCAGGTGCTACCTTATGGGGGGAGCCACTCTTGATTACTCTAGTCATTAATGATTTATATTTTGTACCTCACCACTACTTACTAGTAGAATATAAGCTTCTTCAGGGCAGGAATTGTTTTCATTATCCCCAATTCCCTTGCACAGTACCTGGCACATAGTAGGAGCTTAATAAATGCTTGTTGGGTTTTTCTGACTTCTTGAGTGGCAGGAGATACTAGGATAAGCCCAGAGATCTTAAGGTGGGATGGGAAGAAAACGGAGCTTATGGAGGGGCCACGGGCAGGGATGACATTGGGTGTCTCCACACACCCATGTTTCAAGGTTTATCTTAGGGAGGTGATGGGAGTTGGAGAGAGGTCATGAACTGGGTGGTCAGGTTCAGGGTGGAGGCCCCTCTCTCTAGCCTCTGGAGTTAGTAGTTATCTCTCTGTGTCCCCCCAGATCCCTCAGATCAGCTACGCATCCACAGCTCCTGACCTGAGTGACAACAGCCGTTATGACTTCTTCTCCCGGGTGGTACCCTCGGACACATACCAGGCTCAGGCCATGGTGGACATCGTCCGTGCACTCAAGTGGAACTACGTGTCCACGCTGGCCTCAGAGGGCAGCTATGGCGAGAGCGGGGTGGAGGCCTTCATCCAGAAGTCCCGTGAGGATGGTGAGCCAGTTGCCCCATGGGGGTGTGTGTCTGTGTCTATGTGTGTTTGGGGGTGGGTACTTGGGGTGGAGGTAAGAACTTGGGGTAGAAGTCCAGTGTGGTTAAAATCTCATCGTCTGTGGGTGGACTTACATCTCTTTCTTGTTCCTGTGTATTTTTGAGAGGCTTTTTGATAATATGTATCATAACTAAATTCAGATACTCAGATGGTAGATTCCTTTGGAAGTGATCAAATCCAATCTGCTTCTAATTAGGACCCTTCTCTAATTGATCCTGGGTAAGATGATCATCCAACCTGCCCTCAAAATCCTCCAGTGATGGGGAAACTCACCACCTCTTGAGGAATTCCATTTCAACTTGGGGTCTCTCTAATTATTAGGACATATGTCCTTACATTAACCAATGTTTTGCTCTCTGGAGCTAAGCAGAACAAATTTAACCCTTCTTCCACAATGGTGGCCTTCTGAACATTTGAAAAGATCTAATTCCACTTCATCCCCAAGACTTAAAATAGCTGATATTCTCTTAGAACTCATAAAATCTTCCAGTTGGAAGTGACCATAGAAAAGGTTCAACCTCCCCTTTTTTGTATCACAGACCCCCTTTGGCAGTCTAGTGAGGCCTATGGATCCTTTCTCAGAATGATGTTTTTAATGCATGAAATAAAATAGAATTACAAAAGAAATCAATTCTAGTGAAACAGAGATATGATTATTTTTGCATCTAAGTTCATGGACCTCCCCCCCTTGCCCCCCAGTCAGACCTATAGGGTTCTGTGATCTCCAGGTCAAGAACCTTTGCCATAGATATCTAGTCCAACCTCCTCTCCTCTTCCCCTAAGGAGTCTCTTTTACAACAGGTGGTCATCTCATTTCTGCTTGAATACCTCCAATAATAGGGCATTCATTAAAGTGATCCATTCCATTATTGGAAAGCTCTGATCATTAGAAAGTTCTTTCTAATGGAGCCCAAGTCTGCTTCCTTGAACTTCCATGTAAGGGTCCTTGTTTTGTTCTTGATAGCTCTTTAGATATTTGAAGACAGCTTTCATCTTCACACTTATAATGTTTCTTCTCCAGGCTAAATGTTTCTTCAACCAATCCTGGGATGACATGGCTTGGAGTCCTCTTACTAGTTTGACCATCTTTCCCTGGTCGCCATTTTGTCCGTGTGCTTCTGAAATATGGCATCCGGAACAGAACACATCGCTCCAGATGTAGTCTGACTAGGGGCAGAGTGCAGTGGGACTGTCAGCTCCCAGGTTTTGTTCCATAAATTTCTATTGATGCAGTCTAATATCTCATTAACTTCTTTAGCTACTGTGTCATATTGATGGTTCTTGTTGACCATCCCACACTTCCTTCAACCAGAGCTTTTACACATGAACAGAGAAGCAAGCTGAAGTTCTGAGGCCCCAGTTGTTTTTCACATGAGTTTCTGTCCTCTCAGACATGGAATGGAGGAAGGAAAAGGTTAAGCTTCTTGAGTGTGGGGACTGTCTTTTGTCTCTTTTTGTATCCCCAGCACTTAGCTCAGTGACTGGCACATAGCAGGCACTTAATAAATGTTTATCGATTGATTGAAGGTCAAAGGTGGATGATGGTGTTGATTGAGGTGTATTTAGGGCTGCTAGGGAGATGACTTTTGTGGATGTGATGAATGAGCAGCTAGCTTGGGTGTATAGGTGGATGTGGGATTGGGGTAGGGGAGAGAACAAGCATTTATTAAGCACCTACTATGTACCAGACACTGTGCTAAGTGCTTTACAAACACTATCTCATTTTACAGTTGAGGAAACTGAGACAGGCAGAGGTTAAGTGACTTGCCCAATCACACAGCAAGTAAATGTGTAAAGTTGAATTTGAACTCAGGTCTTCCTGACTCTAGAACCAACACTTTCATCCACTGTGTCACCTAGCTGGGAAGAACAGAGTAATAGAGAAAATGGCAAAAGCTTGGAGGAAGGAGGGAGGCTATCACTACAATGATAGCCATGGGACAGTTTCTCTCTGCTTTTGTGATTATATTTGAGGGATTCTGGGAAAGACCCACTCCCCACCTGTTTCAATGCCTGTAATTTCATCATTACACTCATCCACCCTGAATCACAGAATGTTAGAGCTGGAAGAAACTTAGGACAGCACCTAATTGAACCCTCTTCATGATGAGACTAGAGTGCAGAGAGCTTACTCGATATGTCCAAGGACACACAGTGACTTAGTGGCAGAGGCAGGAGTTGAACTTAGCTCCTTTGATTCCAAGAGCAGTGTGGTTTCCATGGTCCTAGGAGGCCTCCACACTTTGGGTTAAGGCATTGTGGTCAGAAGGACTCTCGTATGTGTTAAGCAGTAGGGGTTTCAGGTTGACCCATTCATTAACCTAGTAGGACTCTGAAGGAATGAGACAGGGGACAGGTAAGTTTTGATGGGGGTTGGGGGAGGAAAGGAAATAAAGGAGTAGAATAGGAAGAGACCAGCTCCATTAAGGTACTCTAAGAAATGTGGGATAGTAGGAAGACAATGCTGTGGAAAAAAAAAAAAAAACATTGCCGTGGGAGTCATGAGACCCGGGTTTGAAGGCTGCTGCTTACTATGTGACATTGGGAAAATCACTTTCTGGGCCTCAGTTTCCTCCTCTGTAAAATGAGGGGGTTGGACTCTACAGTCTTTAAAAAACCGTTCTTGGGGCAGCTAGGTGGCGCAGTGGATAGAGCACCAGCCCTGGATTCAGGAGGACCTGAGTTCAAATCCAGCCTCAGACATATAACACTTACTATCTGTGTGGCTCTGGGCAAGTCACTTAACCCCAATTGCCTCGCAAAAACAAAACAAAACAAAACCCTTCTGGCTCTGCCATCTTGTGTTTCTATGTGGTTCTAGGGCACTGGGTGCCAGGGGACGAAACCCTGAAGACTAATTTAGTTTCTTATAGTTTTTCCCAAGGGGAGTCTTCTAGCATTATTGTCCAACAGGCTAGATGCTAGAGGAAGGGAAGACGGGTTTGCTCTGGAGTCCACAAGCCATGCTGGAGGGAGAGGGGAGCAGGGGAGCAGTGGAGCAGGGGCTGGCCTGGCTATGGCAGAATCCTCCCTCCCCCCATCCCCTTTCCTGCCCCTTCACACTCCTAGCAATGCTGACTAACCCTCTCCCTCCTCCCAGCCTCCCTGCCCTAGCCTCCCGACAGCTGATGCTCAGGTCTCTAAATAGCTTAATGTATGCTTCCCCGACCTTGTGCTAACGTCTCTCTATATATTTATACCTTCACAGCCCAGCATTATAATTGCTTTTCATAAGGACCACATAGTGTCCAAATGCTGGCCGTTGGTAATACCCTGCAGGCCTAATCCTGCTATAAATCTCACATAAGCCCCTTTAATTGTATAGTTGAAGCAGCCTCTGGTTCCTGCAATGAGGCTGGAGGGAGCCCAGGAAGTGGGGCAGTGCTGATGGATGGGCCCAGTTCCCAGCCTTCCCAGCTGCGGTCCTGGAAGGGGGAGCAGAGGAAAAGACAAACCTTGACTTCCCCTCCCCTCTCTCTGGGCCATTTTTCTCTTCCTGAGGCCTACCTGTCTAGAGGGTGGGGGCCCAAGCAGTGAAAGAGATAGATAAAGCAGATCAGGGGTGTGTATGTATGTTTGTGTACATGTGTGTATGTGCTTGTACTTCCTGGGCTCTACTGGGTAACTGTGGACTAACCCTCCTACCCCTCAATGTGCCTGAGGCTGGGAGAGACCAGGGTCTTTTCATCTCCCGTCCCTTTTCCACCTGAGCTGGCCTGGAGCCAGGCAGCAGCCCACTCCCCCGCCTTGTGCCCGGGCTGTGCCCTCCTCAAGTAAACAACGAGCCAATTACCACAGCCCCCAGCCTGTTAAATGTAATTTGATGGGGAGGGTGGTGGATGGAGAACAGCTTTAACCGAAGTGAAAGACAGAAAGAGAAAAACTGCTGCTCTCTAGATCTCCAAACTGAAATCTGAATTGAGCGGCCGGTAGAAAAGGGGCTGATGTACCTTGTAGCCTAATCCCTCCGAAAGATTAAAGATGTCTTTGGCCCATATATTGTACTGATTCATCTTCTGAAATATAAATCATCTGTGAGCCTCTTGGCAGCCGGAGCAGCAAGCAGCATTGAGGAGCTGCAGCTGGAGTTGGGCGGTGGTGAGGAGTGGGGTGGAGGGAGAGGAAGGGATGGATGCTCACTGCCCTGAGAATGAACAGGGACAGCCTAATGAGCAGGGGCAACTGGCTTGGGGGCCTTCTGTCACTGCCCTGGGCTGAGGAGCTGGCTCCCAGCTTGTGAAGGAATGAACTGCTGCCTGGGAGGAGAGGGGAAAGAAAGAGAAGGGGAGATGGAGGGGAAAGAAAGAGAAGGGGAGATGGAGAGGAAAGAGGGAGAGGAAGGGGGAGAAAGAAGAGAGGGGGGATGAAGAAGAGAGGGGGAGAGGGGGGAGAAAGAGAAGGGGGGATGGAGAAGAGAGAGGGAGAGGGACAGGGAGAAAGAAGAGATGGGGGATGAAGAGGAGGGGGGAGAAAGAGGGGGAAGGGGAGAGATAGTAGGGGGCAGTAAGGAGAGAGAGAGAGAGAAAGGAGAGAGAGGAGGGGTGGGGGGAGAGTAACAGGGGAGAGGGAGAGAGAAAAAATACAAGCTTAGCTCCCAAAGGGTAGAATCACCTTTTGGTTAGCCTTGGTTGAACCTTCTCTCATTCAAATTAGGGGAAGGAGAGAGGGCATTATGTTACACATGAGAGTCCAGAAGAACCAAGAGGAAATCCCACGAACCCGAGAGAGCTGCAAAGAGACTGGAGGCAGCTAAAAGGAGAGTCTGATTCCTCAGCAGATCTGTGGTCCTTCCCTAGCGCACACAGTGAAAAGAAATCTCCCTGGGCTGGAGTCTTGGATCTGGACTCTTATTGCCTGTGTGTCTTTGGGTAAATCCCTTCATCCCTCTGGGCCTCGGTTTCCCCCCTCTTTAAACTGAGACTAAAGATCTGGAATGAATGAA